CCTTAGTGAAAAAAGTTAATAAATTCGTAAGGCAGGAACGCCCTTTGTAAAACCATGCTGAGATTCGTTGATTAATTTATGCTTTTCAAGATGGCTACGAACTGCCTCGGCAATTATTGATTCCATAAATTTTCCCACTATGGAGGTTAGGCTTATTGGTCTATAGTTCGAAGCTAAGGACCTGTCACCTGTTTTGAAAATAGGTATCACATTTGCCATTTTCCACTTATCTGGCACCATGCCAGTTTGTAGTGATATGTTGAAAAGATTAGCCAAAGGTGTGCTAAGCTCCTCTTTACATTCCTTTAGAACCCTTGCATACAGTTCATCAGGGCCTGGGGATTTGTTAGGTTTTAATTTATCTATTTGCCTAAGGACCATGTCACTTGTGACCCTAATAGTGCACAGTTTATTATCGTCCTGTTCTACATAATTTATCATTACTGGAATATCGCTGGTATCCTCCTGTGTAAAAACTGAGAGGAAGTATGTGTTAAAAATTCTACACATTTCCTTATCACTGTCAGTGAGCTGACCCGAGGAACTTTTGAGTGGGCCTATCTTGTCCCTGATCTTACTTCTGTATACCTGAAAGAATCCTTTTGGGTTAGTCTTCGATTCTTTTGCAACTTTAACCTCATAATCTCTTTTTGCTTTTCTAATTCCCTTTTTTATTTCTCTCTTTAACTGAATATATCGATTTCTTAATTGCCCCTCTCCTCTTTGATTTGCCTATATATGCCTCTCTTTTGACCAATCAGATATTTTAATCTATTGTTCATCCATTTAGGATCATTTTTGTTTGATCTGATTTCCCTATTTGGAACATAATTTGACTGAGCAGCTAGAACTATGCCCTGGAAAGCATCATATCGGCAACCATCACCACCTACCTGACCCTTAGTCAGGTCATTCCAGTTAAAGCCACACCTAAGTAATTTTTCGGGTCCTATGAAATCAGCCAAGCGAAAGTCAGGACGGAGACTTGATTGCCATTATTAGGGGAATTCCATGATATATTAAAACTGAGTGATTTGTGATCACTCTCCCAAGCCCCATCATTAACCCTCAAGATTATTAATTTAGTGTTTCCCTACTGGCAAGAACCAAGTCAAGGAGGTTTATTTCCCCCTATTGGGCTCTGTCACAAACTTTTTTAAAAAAAAACAATCCTGGATCGTATCAAAAAAGGGTCACCCGACTCTAAATTTCCTGTCAAATTGCCCCAGTCAATTTTGTCTATAGTTGAAATCTCCCATTAGCACAACATTTTCGTATGTAGATGCCTTACGAATTTCGTCCCATAGAAGTTACTGCACTCCCTATCAAGATTTGGGGCCCTGTAATCACACCCAAAATTAGTTTACTCGGCCCTCGAGAAGCTGTAACCCAAAAAGATTCAGTGGCTGACGCTTCTAATTTAATATCTTGTCTAACACAACAATTTAAATTGTCTCTGACATACATCGCTCTTCCACCACCTTTTCCCGTTGACCCTGTCAGTGTGGAATAATTATAGCCTTGTATGTGACATTCAGAGGGCATCTCTTATCTTTCAGATTGAGCCAGGTCTCTGTTTATAGCAATAATATCTATGTTTCCTGCACTTGCAATTAATCTTAGCTCATCTATCTTATTTCTAACCACTCCTGCTATTAGTATAGTAAACCTTAAGGGAGCTAGTCCCTTGCTGCCCTCCCGCTGTCCCCCTTTGTTTGCTGACCTGTTCCTATTGTCTTTATTTATAACTTCATGCTGAATGCCTTTTATACATTTTTCTGTTTCCAACCCTAGTGTTGCAACCTGCTTGTTTCCCACACACAAAACCCCTACCTCTATCTTCCATAGTTTAAAAATTTATAGGCATTTCACCAATGGCCTTCTCAATCGAGTCTGCAAGTGCTACCACCCCTGACCCAGAGAGATGTACCCCATCCCTTGCATACATATCATGTTTGCCATAAAAGTTGTTCCAGTTGTCAATGAATGGGATTGCAAGTTCCTTGCAGTATCTGTCTAGCCAGCAATTTACACCAATTGCCCTAGACAACCATTCATTTCCTACTCCCCTTCTAGGCAAGATGCTACATATGATTGGGATCCCTCCCTTAGACTTAATGAAATCTATAGCTGACCTGTACTTATCTAGCAGCTCTTCTCTCCTACCCTTCCCAATATCATTTCCACCAGTTCAAGTAGTAGTTTCTTCACAGGGGACGCCTTGTCGAAAAACGATTACTTGCAACTAGTAATGCCATCTCTTGTTGATGTCACATGCTGTCTGCAGAAAGATGTTTCTGTTGTGGCTAGTGCTCTCACTAGAGTGTCTGTTGTTGTTCCTAGTGTTCCAGATGGTGATAACATCCTAGTTGACAGTGATTCCTGCAAAGTAAAGGGTTTATTTGTTGAGCCATCCTTACATGCTGTAAGAGATAGTAAGATCCATTTCTTCCTAGCTAACACTTCTGGTCACAGTGTTCGTCTCAGAGCAAATACCAATCTTGTTGACCTTGTTCACTATCCTTACCCTTTTCAGGTAGAGGATGAGTTGTCACCTGACCAGTGGGTCGGTGCTATTTCTACCGGGGAGACCTCATCCACTTCACTGGATCAATCCGTTCCACCAGTTGAGGAGAAAGACTTAGCTCCGACTGACTTCCCAGACGAGGTCAAGCATTTGTTGACTCTGTTGAACAAACGTCATAAAGCCATTGCCTTACCAAGTGAGAAGATGGGTATAATGAATTTATTGCCCCATCGTATCCCACTTGAACCTGGTACTAGACCTATCTATATACCTGCGTACAGAATGCCTCATTCACAAGTTGCTGTCGCAGAAGAATTGATCAATCAGATGCTTGATGATGGAGTTATTGCACCTAGTAATTCACCTTGGAATGCGCCCTTGATCCTAGTACCTAAGAAGGACGGTACTTGGTGCCCAGTGACTGACTTTAGGAGTTAAATGCGAAAACTATTCCAGATCACTTCCCACTTCCTGTACTTGGTGATCTTTTACGTAACATCGGAGATAAAGTCTTTTCGACCCTGGACTTGTTACAAGGGTTTTGGCAAGTCCCTCTTCATGAGGACAGCCAAGAGCTAACTGCATTTTCCACTCCTACAGGTCATTATCACTTCCTCCATATGGCCTTCGGGTTACAATCTTCCCCCATCACTTTCTCGAGGCTCATGACTAATATCTATAGAGGCCTCATAGGTAGTGCACTTATGGTGTACTTAGATGACGTAATCATCATGTCTGAAGAGGTGGATACGCACTTGAAAAGTGCATATGGTGATGGTGGTGAGGGTGATGGAGGTAGGTAGGTCTCTCGTCGCTGCTGGTGGCGTCGCAGAATCTTGGTGAAGATAGCGCTTATCTTGAGGGACTCACACACAAGGCTTTTACATTGGCGCTCAGGTACAAAGAGACAATCTTGTGGCTTGACCCTCTGTGTGAGCCATAAAATAAGATGCTAGGACCCAATATAAAGGTGAAAATGGCAGTGGGTAGGTGTGGGTGAGAGAGGCAGTGTGCCGAGACACCGTGTGGGTGGCATGAGCGGCTTGTCCCAGGCAGCTAGCTGGTACCCACAGTCTACACGTGAATTTCTAAGCCGAGATGACTTAAAACCCCACAAAATACCACAGGGATGATATAAGTACTCAGAATGGCTTCGAGCAGGGAGCACAAAGCGATGGTGAAGGCTGGAACCCACGTAGCTTGCTTGAGTACTGGGGCTAGTCACTTTGGTTAGCTGGGTGGCTTAAGCCCTTCACACAGGCTGGCTTGAGAACCTGTAACAATGAGCACAGCAGGTTGGGAAGTTGGCTTAGTAGGTAAGGCTGGTACTTAGGCAGGTAAGGCTGGTACTTAGCAGGCTGGATGGCGTAGAGCTTCTCCCCCACAGACTGGCTTGGCTTAATTTGCAAACCCAGATCAACCTCTCGTAAGTAATGCAAATAAGCAGATAAGACACAAAGACTGACCAGGAAGTAGTGCAGACAGGTTGGTGGGTGCTTGCTCAGGGTAGCTGGTTGGCTAGGCTGCCATGCGGTCAACACACAATGTCTGTCGGTACATCTGTGTAAATATCAAATTTACGTGACCATCGCTGTCACCATTTGTAACTTGGGGGTTCTAGGAGATAAAGCTGGTGTAGAAATACACTTGGGTATGGATGGAAACACTTGTATTTGGAGAGTCGTGAGGGTAAGCCCAGCCTAGCCTTGTTGTCGCCTGTAGGTCTATGCAGAAACTGAGAGAGGGACATGGTGACCAATGCTCACATATGGCATCACGTGACATCACACATGCTAGCCACTGGGCCTAGCAAGGGATCGTATATATAAAATATATAGATGCTACTAACTACGATACTAAGATATGCTACACAAACATGTACATTAGCTATGCTGACAACTGGACGAGTGATCACTTACTGAATCATGCCCTAGATAAGTAACCACTTACTGAATCGTGCCCTGGACGAGTAACCACTTACTGACTCATGCCCTGGATGAGTAACCACTTACTGAATCATGCACTGAACGAGTAACCACTTAATCATACCCTGGACGAGTAACCACTTACTGAATCATGCCCTGGACGAGTAACCACTTACTGAATCATGCCCTGGATGAGTAACCACTTACTGAATTATGCCCTGGACGAGTAACCACTTACTGAATCATGCCCTGGATGAATAACCACTTACTGAATCATGCCCTGGATGAGTAACCACTTACTGAATTATGCCCTGGACGAGTAACCACTTACTGAATCATGCCCTGGATGAATAACCACTTACTGAATCATGCCCTGGATGAATAACCACTTACTGAATCATGCCCTGGATGAATAACCACTTACTGAATTATGCCCTGGACGAGTAACCACTTACTGAATCATGCCCTGGATGAATAACCACTTACTGAATCATGCCCTGGATGAATAACCACTTACTGAATCATGCCCTGGATGAGTGACCACTTACTCAATCTTGCCCTGGACGAGGGAGTGACCAAAGCGGAACGCAGCAGTGGAGAACTCGTTGAGTATAGCCGCACTGTGGTCGCTGTCGTAGTCCTTGGAGTAGCCTTCCAGCCGTGGCAGTAGCCCACTGGCAGCCATGTAGTCCTTGCCTGCAAACACACACATGGCTTCAGGGCAGGGCACGTCACCCACATAATGTATGCATGTACACACATCTCATTCAAGAAACACGCACTGGAAGCATGTTCATTGCCTTCCTTTTGTATTCACTGTCCTTTTGAAAGCATTAGTTCTCTATATACCTTTTTGCTATTTTTAATGGTTCCTTACATGAGTTTGCTATTTTTAACATATTTTTTGCAATTATTAATGGTTCCTGAGAAGGACTTTGGAGTTTTAATGTCAGAGGATCTCACCCTCAAGGATCATAACAGTGTCACTATTACATCTGGGAGGAAAATAATAGGATGGATAATGAGAACCTTCTAAACAAGAGATGCCACTTCAGTGATGATCCTTTTTAAATCACTTGTTCTCTCTAAGCTGGAATACTGCTGTACACTAGCATCTCCATTCAAGGCAGGTGAAATCGCAGATCTAGAGAATGTACAAAGAGCCTTTCCTGCGCATATTGTTCTGTCAAACACCTCAGTTACTGGGAATGCTTGGAATCACTTGACCTGTACTCCCTGGAGCGCAGGCGATAGGGATACATCATAATCTACACCTGGAAAATTCTAGAGGGACCGGTCCCAAATTTGCACACAGAAATCACTCCTTATGAAAGCAAAAGACTGGGCAGACGGTGCAATATATAGGAAACGTCTCTCTCTTTGTAGTTTACATCTTCTCTTTCTTTTTCTTAATGGAATGTGTCCTGAGCAGATCTCAAGAACCACACTACAACTGCTACATCAACTAGTCACCTGTTGCTTTTACTAATATTGGAAGGAATGAGAGGGGTGATACTCACCAAGTACATTAGGGAGCCACTCATTGTAGATAATATGCTGGTAAAGGGCCACCACAATCCTCCTGGTCTCCTGGTAGAGAGTCTCGTCTGACCAGTGTGGGTTGAGGCGTGCCAGCTCCCGGGCTATACGGTTATGTATCCTCACCCACACAGTGTGCATGACAGACAATATCACTTGCTGGTTCACCCGGTTGTCTCCTGTCAGGGGTCATTCTGGGTCAATATGGTGTCCTATAATACATTACGCAAAGAAGAGCTTATAATACCCTCGCAATAATTAGTAAAGAGGAACGTTAAATGTTCCGTAACAAGAAATTTCCTAATGAAATCCATATTTACCAGCCATGAAACAAGGTAATCTTTCTCTGGTGGTCTCACACTCCATGACCTGTAAGTCGGCTGGGAGGAGGTCATTCTCTTGCACTCTGAGCAGACCTCTACGGAACATTCTCAACTGCTGCTCCTCCGTGGCACTGGACCCGTAAATGTTAGATCCGTCCAGGAAGTGTGTGACTTGGTTCATCTGTCAGATAGAGATGTTGCAAATAATGCAAAGTTGTGAGACTGGTGATGAGATGGTAACAATGGGAGTGTCGAGGAAATAGTACCTACTGACTTGTCTAACTTTTATTTATTACTCAAATTGATGTCAGCCTTGCACTCAGAGGACGCCAACCGCCTCACACATCTGACACAATCTGGTGGATGATTCCTAGATAGCGGCTGTAAATCACGAGTACTCTGGACACTATCACACTTACCAGATACGACTGTAGACTTTCTCCTTTCATCCACTACCAGGATCATTGTTCCTGCACACTTGTTTATTGGATATGTCCCATTAATACGAGGATACTGTACGACACGGTGAGTGTGACGCTTTGACAAGCTCTAGAATTTAATAGCAATACGTGAATCCTTGGCCTGACACTATTGTCATTAATTAATCTCCACTACCAATGTACAAATTATGGATTATACTCTAGTTAATGAACAAGGTAACTAAAGAGGACTCTACTTGTGCCTCAGGTATTTAAATACCTGAGGTCTCTAGATGGCGTGTGGTTGCTTCCTCTGGCCAGAATGTTAGTTAACACTAAGGTCCTGTTTACTAAAAGAGTTGTTGCATTATCTGAATGTCGTTAAATCATTACAGCTGACACTCAATATTTAGCACACGTGACGGTAATATCCTCGACTTTAAGAGCCCGATCTCAAGGTGTGGCTCTTGGTTGTGATCCAAGGAAGCCGCTATGACACTTAACCGAGTCTCGCTTCTGATTACCTCAACATACTAGTTCTATTATGCTCGGGGAGACGTCACTAATTAACCTGGCTCCCGAGGTGCTACAATACCTGGCCATGTTGACTCTTGGATTTATGTATGAGACTAACGCCTCTGGGCATTCAAACTCAGCCTATACTGGGCCTCTACCCTAGTTACTGTTGCCACACCGCTGGCAGTGGTGAAAGTTAATTGATCATTCAATGTAACAAAATGTCAGTAACAGACCCCTGGCAGTCTTCAAGCTGGCACTGGACAAGCACCTAAAGTCGGTACCTGACCAACCGGGCTGTGGCTCGTACGTTGGTTTGCGTGCAGCCAGCAGTAACAGCCTGGTTGATCAGGCTCTGATCCACCAGGAGGCCTGGTCACAGACCGGGCCGCGGGGGCGTTGACCCCCGGAACTCTCTCCAGGTAAACTGACATTCATAATACTCATCACTTAACAACTGGGTCTCAAGCTCTCACACCTGACAGTGCCCCCTTGAACTTGAAGGTAGGAACTGGCACTTCGACATCACCTATCCTCCCTATTTCCCACCGGGAGAGAAAAGTTATAAGCCTCTCTGTAACATAGGCACTAGGGAAGAAAAGCCACTGCACTTTCTCTAGAATCTGATACACGGGGATTTAAAAAAAAATCTCCACAAGAAAAAGTGTAAATAACACCAGACACCATCTTGTTTACCTGCTCAGCATAACCTAGACCACACGGAGAGTTGCGGGGAGCAAACATAGATCTGACGAAGTTCATGCAGCGGCGATCGTTCCTGCTGTAGAAGGAGTCATTGGCTGGAACCTCGATGGGGAAGCAAGCGGGGTGGAGGAAGGCAGCTTCAGCGAAGCCACGGTTGTTGTCTGAACAACACTGGATACCACTGTTATCTGACCAACCCAGAGAAGCCCTGGTCAAGGTTACTTTAACACATACACACACGTATCTTCAAATATGGTCATGGATGGTAGGTCACTGGTAGAGTATGTAAATAAAACACAGTATGTAAATAAGACACAATTTGGGTTATGGCACTGTATTGTGAAAACGTTATCAATCCATAAATTTATAAATTATTATTATTATTATAAAAAGAAGCGCTAAGCCACAAGGACTATACAGCGCTGCAGGGCAGGAAGGAAGCGAGGGCATCAGGTGGCAAAAGGGAGATGGATGAGTAATAGGTTACGGATAACAGCGGGGTAGTGGATGGTGAAAGGGTAAAGGGCAGCAAGAGACTGAACTAGAAAGGGCTGAGGGAAGTGCGAAAAGTATCATCAGAGTTTGTGGAGTAAATCAGTCGTTGTCAAGAAGTCAGTGAGAGAGTCAGGATTAAAGGAGGGTCCATCAGCAAGAAGGGAAGGTAAAGAGAGAGTAGTAGAACGAAGACGACGTTGGAGGTAAATTCTGCGTGCTCGTTGATAAAGAGGGCAGTCTAACAGAATGTGGCTAATCGATACTGGAACTTGACACTGCTCACAGAGAGGAACAGGGTGCCTCTCCATGAGATACCCATGAGTAAGACGAGTGTGGCCAATGCGAAGGCGGGAGAGAGTGGTCTCCCAACCTCGGCACTGATGACAAGAAGACGGCCAGTAACCTATGCTCGGTTTAATAGAATGAAGTTTGTTACCGAGCAGAGTTGACCAACGTTGTTGCCAACGGGTGCGAAGGTGGGTAGCTATTGCAGCAAAATAGTCCAGAAATGGAACACCTCGATAGGAAATTGGTAGGTCATGTACTGCTGACCGCGCAGCAGTGTCTGCAAATAAATTGATAAAGTCCTCGAGGGACGAAATGTCTTCACAATAAAGTGCCATAATTCGCATTGTGTCTTATTTATTTGGTCAAGGATGTTCTAATTTCTCTGCGAATAGGAAATATTCAGAGGAAATGTTATGTCTAGAAGTTATTGGCTAGTAACGACTTAAAACAAGTGTCATGGTAATTCGTTAAAGAACATTTTTGTTCCTTAAAATTTTTTTCCATAAACAAAACAGAAAACAAAGGAAGGAGTAGAGGTGCGTCATGGGCGGGGATTTCATTAGAACGTGGGTATTTGACCTGGCCCCGGAGCTAGAACCTTAAGGTAAACACACTCTTTCAGGAGAACCACGTCCCTGAAACCCAACTCGAGAATGAGGTAAACTCAGGGAAGTCTGGCTAGTATTTGGATGGGTGACCTCAGGTAGTAAGAGGCATCTCTCTCTCTCTCTCTCTCTCTCTCTCTCCAAGTGAACTACACTGCGGTCTAATTATTTTCTTACTACCACAGTAAATACAGTTTTACTCACTAAGCCTGTTGATGGGAGTGTTGTTGATGTCATGGTTGATAAACTGACCCAGTTGCATCACAGAGTGAGTTAAGTCTGAGCTGGGTCTGTCCATGTCGCCAGCAATGCTGGTGGACACCAGTCGTGCAGAGGGAAGGTTACTACCCGTCCGGCTCACTCGGGGCATTGACAGGCCTGTGACCAGGAAAAACATTTGTTGGGAAAAATGTTAACATTTATTTTAACTGGTAGACGATAGATAGGTTAACTGAGGCGAGGATGCGGTAGCACTCACCATCACTGTAGTGTGGAGGACATAGCCTCTGAAAGGCTGTCCTGGCCTGGCCCATCCTGGGACTAACCAGGTTGTTGCAGGCGCCATCGACTCTGCGGTAGTAGATGTCTCTCTCTTGGCACACGGGGCTCCTCTGGCAGGTGTTGGCGAATTTGGTGTTGGTCACGTCGATCTGTTGTAGACCATACCCAGCCAACAGGGGGCTCAGACCAAACCTGTATGTCGAGAAAAAGTCTTAAGTTTTACTTATGTCTAGTGTTTGCTGAATTACATGGCACCTTCATCAGGATACAGTGTTACATACACCTTTGTGTGTATGTGTATGAGTAATAATAATCGGTGATTTATAAAATCGCTGGCTGATGAGATTTAGCTGAAAACTGAAAGAAGTTGACCAGTATCCTTAAACTGTGTAGCCAGGGTTGAAAAGTAGTCGTTAAGCATGAGGACTTTTTTAGATAAGGAAGAGAAAAAACAGGCGAAGAGGAAACTTCGACTTACTTGGCCCTGAGGTAGTGTGCAGCCCTGACGTGGACAGTGGCAGCTCTGTGAAGCTTAATAGCGGGGAAAGATGTCTTGAAGAATTGAAGATGGTGGTAGGCTGGGTCGCCAGTGTCCACCACCTGGATACCCTCATCTTGTAGCCTCTGTAGCAAGAGAATACATTGTGTTTATTCTACTTCCGGCGTGAGGTCACATCACGGACACTCCATGCTCTCAGAAAGTATGATCATTTAAAATTGCCTTTTTTCTGGACTGCCTTCTGATATTTTAGATATCCATGTTTTTCAAATTATTTGCAATAATGTCAATATTCACAACAACATAGAGCTTCAAGTATTATGAACATCATGAAGAAATAGTACTGGAATACAAATGACTTTACAGGCAAATTATGTGAAACTAGTGTTAAAGGCAGATTCAGAAATGTTTTCTTACCATTTACCTTGAATGTGGAACGTTAATTTCAGTATGTTGAATTAAGCTGATTTGTGTAGTCAGGCGAAATCTCGATACAAAGTAATTTCTAACTAAAGCATTATTTGATACGGAAAATGTGACATAATGACTGAGGTAGAAAAAAAAAATAAAGATATTTACCGTTTCCAAATCGTCTCTCTCCTTCAAACTCAAGAGACCGATCTTCAAAGCCTTGTTGACTAAGTCATAGTTGAAGTTCAGCTGAGGAAGCTTAATAAAATGATGTGCTTCCTTTAACATCTGCCTCGGGTTATCTAGGAAATGATCCATGTTTAGTCTTACAAGTGACTGGTACATATACATGTACAATTAAATATACACGCACACGGATGAAGTGGTACACATAAATCAGTTACGTTGGACACAAATGACAGGTGAGAGAACCGAGACTTCAACTCACTGGCATTATGTTGTCCAGGGCAGCAGACTCCCACAGCACCACCAAAGATGGAACAAGCAAGCTGTGGCTGGTTTCCACCTCGTGGTAGCTAGGTGCACAACGCACCAGTGGTACACACTTCAGACCACCAGGACACACACTGGTTCCAGACACGTCAGGCGTCACTGTGGGAAGGTGATGAGACAAGGATGAGAATTGACGTATTATACTATTCCAATTTCTAGGGTAAATATTCACGTTAAAATTAAGAATATATGGCGATTAAAAAGTGTTAGTGATATTCATTTTTATTAAAAAAATTTTTTTTTCGGGTTGGCTTCAATATATTATTGACGATATTTTCTTTAAGAAGGATTATAACCATTAAGTTTATTCCGAGTAACGGCAAATTTAAGCAAAACTGAAATTGTTAAAAAGCCTAAGTTTTCGTAATCAGATCATTAACTAGAGAATGACCTTTATAACTGGCTTCTAACGTATACCAATGGTGAGTTAACACAAACACCACAACTTGTTACTCACTTTCACCTGTGTAAATTTCAATTTTCCAACTTTACTGTTCACCATGCAATAACTAGAGGATGCCTCTTCTGATCGTCTTCAAACCCTAAATGCTAGTGTATCTTAATTAGAGTATTTTTTAATCGTTTTTGGAAGTATTTTTTGCAAAATAAAAATAAAAAAATCTTATTGTAGAGAATTTAAAACAGTTTAAATAAGACAAGAAAAAATGGGGGAGGGGGAATAAATTCGCATTTTAATGACGTTAAGTTGGGAAGACTCAGATTTTCAGAACATTCTCAACAACATTTTTGTTTAAAGTTAAGACACTTGTGCAACATCTGGTTATCTTTATTGTAGACGTTTCGCCCACCATTAGCTTTATCAATACAAATTCTTGGACATAATTAAAAAACAGAAGAACTATATACAAAAGACGAGGTAATCAGTCCCTCGGTCTTGGAGGTGGTGTTTACAGCACCAACAAAGTTAAGACACTGCAACATCATGGTATCTTGATTCAGAGGACATCTACATGACCTTCTTCATGACTTATACAACTAACCCATCAATTTGGGAAGGACCTACTTCCACTGGGGAATCCCGCCTACCAGTGACTATGTCCTCGTCTGCTACACATCCCTATTCACTGACGCCTATATAAACGCCAGTCTCCTTACCTGTGCTTCAGACTCTCTACAACCATGGTGCTGTAAACACCACCTCCAAGGCTGAGGGACTGATTACCTCATCTTTTGTATATAGTTCTTCTGTTTTCTAATTATGTCCAAGAATCTGTACTGATAAAGCCACTGGTGGGCGAAACGTCTACAATAAAGATAACCAGATGTTGCACAAGTGTCTTAACTTTCATCTTGTCGGTATTTTATACCTGTCTTGTACAACATTCTTGTTTACTTTCTCAATTTCTTTTATTACTCGAGAACGCTTTATTCGATTGGCTTCAAATTTTCAACACTGGTGTACTATATCTTGGTCAAGATTCTTGGGACTATTTGCAGGTCTGGGCGCCCTGTGTACAGTGTTACATAGACAGTTCCAAATTTGGTTTGCATGTGATAATAGAGACAGGCTCCTCTGCTCACCTTCATAATGTCAACAGTCGTGTAACTTACGAAAAAAAAAGTTGATATATTTAATGGAGTTTGTCGGTCGGTGCTGTTTTGCATTATTTTCCTTGATGCAGGTGAGGGACACTTGATCCAAGGAACTGGACTTATCTTTAACTTGCCTGAATCAGATTTGAATACCTCCTATTCTCCAGACGTTATATGATCCCCTACGGGTTTAGCGGTTTCCTCTGATTAATATATAAAATTTATGAACGGCATTAATCTTCCATGGCTGAAGCATTGTTTTAAATGGATGGAAGAAGTCATGGTTGAGGCTGTGTGGGCACAACTTCTGTTGGATTCTGTACATCTTCCCGTTTGCTTTAAACTTTTATTGAGTGCTAATGTATTTTTCTCAAACGAAACAATTTCTAGACGCTAGGTTGTGTAAGTTATCATGTGTCAGTTTTATTAATTAATTTGGTTTCTGTGGAATAACTGGAGAGACTGTTTCTCTTGATCAGGAGTGAGTCAAGTGTTTGACTTTATTTAGTAATGCTAAGTTAAATCAACTTAATGTTCTTAATTTGTCTGTAACATTTGTGTCGTCAAAACCATTGTTAAAAAGTGTATGTTATGTTCACTAAACTTAAATAAAACTTACTTTCTTACCTGTTATTTACTGCACTTTCTTAAAACCTAGACAGTCTTACTTAGAGAAAGATTTGGATTAATTTTGGTCTCTGTAGGTCCCAATTTGCTTTTTTATTTTTTTAAAGAAGAAATTTGAAAAATATGAAACCGGTTTTCGTGCGATCATTTTTGTGTTTCGTCCATCCATGATGATGACTTAATAATGCGCGAGCCTAATGTGTTTGTGCTTTAGTATATAGGCCTCTGTGATCTCTTCGCAAGGTTTCAATTAGTTTTGACTGTATATGTCCTAATTTATCACTATTTTTTATTGAAAAAATGGATATTAGTTTCCGTATGATGACCTGTGAATGTATTTTCTAATTCCCTTCAAATCTCCAATGATAGTATCCAGTATCTCTATCAACTTATACCGCACTCTGCACTAGTCTAATACGGAATATCTTCCTTGGATCACGTAGCGACCGAAATATATTTAGTGATGTGTGTTTTTTGCGTGCGTGTGCGGTGGGTGTATATGGGGGAGTTTGAGTGACGGGGGGAGGGATGGTGTGTGTGTATTTGTGTTTTATGGTGAGCACAATCCTTGTATGGTATAAGTGTCAGTGGCCCGAGACTGTTCAACTGCCTCCCAGCATACATAAGGGGGGATTACCAATAGACCCCTGGCAGTCTTCAAGCAGGCACTGGACAAGCACCTAAAGTCGCTACCTGACCAGCCGGGCTGTGGCTCGTACGTTGGGTTGCGTGCAGCCAGCAGTAACAGCCTGGTTGATCAGGCTCTGATCCACCATGAGGCCTGGCCACAGACCGGGCCGCGGGGGCGTTGACCCCCGGAACTCTCTCCAGGTAAACTCCAGGTATGGTTTCACAAACTACTCCTGAGCACTGTGTAAACTTTAGATCCTTAATACAACTTAAAAGTAGGTGAAAATACGATTTTTTTTTTCAGAAAATATACACTGAAGTTAAAGCTTACCTCCAAAAATATGTGTGGACTGCTGGAGGGGTCGGAGGTATTGAGGTACAGGAGTAACCTCAGGTCCAACGCCACCCCAGGAGGTTATGAGGGGCAGGGTGGGCACAGGTGTACGAGGAGGAGTATATGGTAAGTATGCCTCTGTCACTGTGGGTCTGCGAGAAGCCTGGAACAAAGCAGAATATTTTAAGTGTTTATAGCTCTTTGTACAGTAGACCGGAGAAACTGTGGGGCTTCAATATAGCTCTTAGTTTTATATTTAAGCACCAGGAACCTAACCTCGAGCTAAAGCAGAGTATTATAATTGTTTATAACTCCATGTACAGCAGACCGGTCAAGCTATGGAACCTCAATATAACTCTTAGTTATACTGATTTAATTTTTCCATAGCCATTTATAATTATTTTTGCCTATAAATTATCATTTTTGCAGTAAAAATGTAATTACGATTTTGTGCAATGTTGAAGGATGTACAAGGTAGGTATCAGGTGTCCTGGAAGACGTACCTTTAAGATGTCTGATTTTCATGCCAAGGTTCTTGCTAATGACTTGAGAACGTGGCAACTGAATGGTTTTAAATTTTCAACGGTGGTATAATGTAACAAGGGAAAGGCTCGTGCAACTATTGGCATATGCAGGAGCCATCTAACTTTTGTATAGACCATTCCCGGATTTTATTTCCATGCTATAACTTCAGAAAACCTCTTCTAGTTGGTTTCAAGTTGTCAATGTGAGTGTATCCTTAAAAACAAGTAGGGATTGTTATTGGAAATTGTAGATGCCAATTTACAAATTTTACATTTCGAAAATGGTATAGTTTTTTTTTTCGTGAAAGTATTTGAGTATACCTCACTTGAACGTCTTGACTCTTTGATGGTTGATGTATTTTGTGACTGAGATGGTCAACTATAAACTTAGTCTTTGTAGTCGCAAATTTTCCAGTTTTCTAAGTTAATTAACTTGAAATCATTGTATTCCTAGCAATAACTGGTGATTGTATCTTCTGATTGAAAATTGAATATCCGCGTTTTATTGTCATTTTTAAATTTCACAAATATGGTGGGTGAATAAATAATACATTCTCATAAAACTTTCCTCCATAGCCGGTCATATACTCTCGTACAGTGAATGTTCTTCCTCCAGGTGTTAATTGTGTTTTACAATGGAATGGTGTATTTTCCTGTAAAATAACTTGGGTATTCCTGTTCTGAACGGTTTTAATATTTTATAGTTACTACTGCCCCTTCTGACATATTACATATGTGATAGACATGTGACAGTTTTTTTTTTTAGGCCAGAGGGACTGATAAATGATATTTTATGGTGAGAAGCTGAATGATATTATCTTGTCTAGTTTTTATTCTCTCTTTCTGTCTCTCTTTCTTTCTGTCTCTCTTTCTCTCTCTCTCTCTCTCTCTCTCTCTCTCTCTCTCTCTCTCTCTCTCTCTCTCTCTCTCTCTCTCTCTCTCTCTCTCTCTCTCTCTCTACACACACACACACACACACACACACACACAAAAGCACGAAAAATACACCTTTTCACCCATACACATTGTTGGACAAGGCTCTTGTAACCGGGAGAGAGGAGTTTGCTTAGTAGCGACCAGCGAAGAAGTATTGGCCAGGAGCTGTGAATCGACCCCTGCAACCACATATAGGTAAATACAATCATACAGAAACTTACCGAGGATGCTGTTATAACTTCTTGGTTCAGGAGAAGACTGTTAATCAACTGCTCCAGGTGGGGTGTGATGGAGAGGTGTGTGGTGGGGGGTGCAGGTAAGCTTGCTCCACTGTCAGGGCTTACCTGGACCCTATCGTACTCTCTGTCGTGGACAAATGGTTATGGATAACTTTAGATTTAGAAATGATATAGGAAAGTACTGGTTTGGAAACATAGTCGATGAATGGAGCAGTCTGCCTAGTAGGGTCA